CATCTTTGTCCTGCCCTTTGTAAAATTGCTCCTCCCTGATTGCCCATCAGGTAATAGCCAGACCATATCGGTTACCACTCAGTAAATAATGTCGTGTAGTAAATAATCCCCAAAGCTAAGATAAGCTCCACTGAGTACCCCTGCAGGCTTCCTGGCCTTGCTGGACTTGCACGCAGGGGAGGGCTGAGCTCAGCGGCTGGCCAGGGCTCCTCCTTTCCCTGGAGTCTGTGGGCTGGCCTGAGCAAGTATTTCTCACAATGGGAGCACATGTGCACAAGCACTTCATTCCTGCCTCACGTGGCCCAGCCTAAAGTCAAGTTGGGTGGAGGTGGAAGCCCCACCCCTTAAGTAAGAGGAACTTTGAGGTCACATGGAAGAGGCAGCGTGAAGAATGGGGCCTAACTTCCAGTCTAGAGCAGGATCCTGTTCTCATATCCCCTGGCTGTGCCAACAGCCAGGTATGTGACTTGGGTTAAGTGACAGAAGCTCTTGGCCTCCGTTTCCTTATTTCAAAAGTCAGGATCACGAAGATACCTACCTCCTAGATTGTTGTGAGGAGCAAATGACATTCAACAATCTCATATGGGATGCTTAACAGCAACAGTTAGGCAGAGCTGTTCGGCAGAGCTGAATTTCTTTTCAGTGCAACACATTTCACTGAGCACCTACCTTGCCCCTGACAAACCCTGTGCAGTCATGCACTGCTTAACCGTGTTTCAGTCAGTAATGAACCACCTGTGCAGCCTTGGCCCTGTATAACTATACCACACAGTGCAGGGGGTAGACCCCCTAGGCTTGTGTAATTACACTCTGTGGTGTTTGCACAAGGATAAAATCACCTAACAATGCACATCTCAGACTGTATTTCCAACCTCAAGCCAGTGACAGTAGGAAATGAAGGAAAAAACTGAGGAAATGAAGAGACAAATGAAACCCAGTCCTTGTTCTTAACACTCCTCAGTTCTGACACAAGAGGAAGATGTATGGTATACCTCATGCTCCATGTTTGGATTTTACTCTGACATTTAACATTTAACAAGTCGTGGAAAACCCCACCTGAGTTCAGGTAAAGGTAGAGATGTTGCCTGAGGGACACCCACAGGCCAGTAGACTTTCCCACCCAGGCCTTGGGGCTCCTGAGGGCAGAGACTGGCCCCCACCCTCTGAGGACTTCCCAGAGGAGGTTTCCTCTGAAGACCCCAGGCCTGCTGCTTCTCGCCTGGCTGGGCCCATCTCCTCTCCGGGGATGGCCTCTCTCAACTGGCTAGAAGCCAGTGAGGGGGCCATGTGCTCCCTATTCCTACTCCCTTCTTTTATTCCTCACTAGTGCCAGATACAGGGCCCTAGGCTAGGGCCCCCAGGCCTCACCAGAAATCCCAAAGCCAGCCTTCCCTTCTTTGACACCTATCTTTGAAACCATGGCCTTGGGGCAGAAGGGGAAGATGGCTGGTGACAAAATGCTTTTGTTAGTTCCTGGAGAGAAAGAGCAGATGTTGTCAACCATCCGGGCATCTAGAGTACAAGTCTGTCTCACTTTGGAATGTGTGACTGTTTTCCAGAACAGCAGGTGGTCCACTTTACCATTTCCTTTCACTGAGACCAATTTCAGGCTTGCTTTTCTCTCCCCTCACCCTCTCTGTGACTTGCTCTCAGACACTAGGATGCTGAGGACCTGTATAAACTGGGGCGAGGGAGAGACACCAGGCACTTTGGGTAACATTTCCAGCTTCCTCACCCTAACCCAGCTCCCACCATCTGGGGCAAATAAAAGTTCCTGCTTACACAGGTGCAACCTCTGGCAGGCCCAGCGTCCAGCCGAGCCTGGGCCTGGCAGACAGAGGCTGCTGAGATGTTCTGTCTCAGGCTCCACAGAGTGGCTTCCTCCTGCTGCCTGCTCAAGCCTTGTGCTGGAAGAACTAATGGACTCTCAAGACCTTGGGACACTGGTTCTTCCTTTGGTGACCTGGGCTCCCATGTGTCCCTACTGAGATCAAGGCCTCACCAGTCAGTTCTCAAACAGCAGACTGAGGGCATGGGGCCCAGGGTGGGAGGGTTTAGCAGAAAGGGTGAGTGAGTGGAGGGCAAGTGGGTGAGGCCCCCCACCCCAGTGACTGACAGGTGGGGACCACGGGGGGGGGGGGGGGGACTTGAGGGTGAGAGGGTTGGGGAGGGAGGCAGAGTAAGTGGGGCAAGTGTGAGGTCTCAGCGTGCATCCCTGCACTTCCTGGCTGTGTGGCCTTACCCCATGATGCCTTGCTCAGTGCCTCATTTTCCTCACCTATAAAGCAAAAATTATAGTATACAGTTGGCCCTTGAACAGTTCGGAGCCTAAGGGCCGAGCTTGCACATTTCACTCCCCACCAAAAACTACAATACTGGCTGCTGTTGACCCCATGGACATAATGTAAACTTTTCTGGGGGCCCCACCCCTGGGCTGGTGGGTCACAAGTCATCGTCACAGGGTCATCTTGTCTGGATAAATCTACTGCCTAAAGGTGTAAATTAGTCTTTTCAGATTAAAATACATAGATATTTAATAGCAGGCACCCAGGCTTTGATTCTCTGCAGTATATTCTCAGAGGGAAAGAGGTCGGACCGGCACATCCTTCCCCAAGTATCAGCCGATCTTTGGGTTGGATAGTTTAGAGCCAGAAACCCTCCCATCAAGAATAATCGTGTTCTTAGTGTCCATGACTCACTGTTTTCAACTATGTAAACTAAAATCAAACTCAGGTCTATTTGGAACAGTCCTCTCACTGTGAGATCTGTTTGGGCTGCTTCCTGGGTTTGAAGTCTCACGTTGATTAACTTTTGGCTTAACTATTCCTGAGACATTATTTTTCAGTTAGTAGCCAGAAGCCTTACTAATCTCATAAACAGTGGATTAACACACATTCATATGGTATATGTATTATATTCTGTACTCTTTATCTTTAAGATTTATTTATTTGTGCATACAGAACTGGGGTACAGGCCAGAGGGGCAGGGGCAGTGAGAGGCTTCACCAGAGACAGACAGAGTGGGGAGAACAGGCAGATGTCCTGAATTATACTGTTGAGGGGAGCAGCAGGTGGGTCAGGAGAAGTCTGCTGCACCATCAGGTCAGCTCCTGGGCGGGGATCAAACTCACAATGAAGCATCTGCAGCCAGCTTGCAGTGCGGCGCTTTAACCCACCAGCCACCAGGGAGGCCCCCTCACCCCACATTCTAAGGCCACTCTCTCTCCATGTCTGTCTCACCCTTGAGGAGACTGGCAGGAGGGTGAGACAAGCCCAGCAATCCTGACATCTCCACCCAAGCGTGCCATTCTCTTCACGTGGCCCTAAACTGGCACTGGGGATTCTGCCTACTGCCTTTCGTCCCCTCGCTGATTCCTAAACATCACCCTTCAAGGCTGGAGTCACACCTCAGAAGTTTCCAGAACACCCACTTACTGCTCTTCTCCAACAATCAAGACATTCTGGTTGCCACACAGTTACCCTCTCCACATGGTTGCCATGGTGACTCTCTCAAGCCGGAAGGCCCCTGCTCTTCTGTGTTGCACACCCCTCAGCCCCCCAGGCTCAGGGCTGGGTCCAGCAATAAGTAAACAGAGCCTAAGTTGCCCTCATAAAGGCACAGTTCTGATGAGGAGATGTGATCAAAAGATCACACCTACTGGTATGTGTGTGGTAAGTCACCTGTCACCTGGGGTAATGAGATCATTAAAGACCCGATGTAATCAGTGGTCAGGGAGGTTTCCTGGGGAGGACAGAGGACTGATATTTGTGCTGTGACTTGAAGATGATGAGACATTCATTGGAGAGATTCAGGCAGAGGAACAGTGTGTGCAAAGGCCCTGAGGCAGGAGGAAGCAAGGTGTATCTGGGTGGAAAATGGTCAGAGGGCTCTAGGATGTGGCAAGCTTCCAGCTACACCACCACCTGCCACTCTGTGCTCTCCTGTCCCCACTGCTTGCTTGTACATCACACTGGTCTGGCCTACTGAACCCAGATTTGGCCTGAGAAGCTGTCTTAACCCAGGTAGCACTAACAATCAATTGACTTTGGTAACTGAAATAACATGCATCTAACATCCCTATGATAACGTTCCATTTGTGCCTCTTGAGACTAATTCTATCACTCTGACAGCCTTTTGGTCACTGTTTCATTTTCTAGGCAAAGAAAGAGATGTGGAAGATGCACTTTTCTAGCAGGTGTCCCAGGGCACCCCCCCTTGGCCAAGGCAAGAGGGTCAGTGCCAGGCAGGGAGGGTAAACAGTGGACACAAGGAGACTCAGAACCCAAAAGGCCATACGAATATGAATTATATGAATCGTCACCTTTCTGACTTAGTACACTGTGCCAAAGTGGCAAAGCATTGGGCTCAGTGCCAAGACTTTACACCAGGTAGAATCAAGTAATTGACATGTGACTTAACCAGACAGGGAGGACCTCTGGGGCCAGGGTGAGGGTCAGGCCTTTCAGCTTTGCTGCAACTGCCCCAAGAGAGCAGTGCCCCCAGCTAGAGCCATGCAGAGCTCTGCAAATCAGTTCAGAGGAGGGGGGTCACCCAGTGTGCTGGACCTAGGTCCTGAGGACCCCAGGTTGGGGGACTGGAAGTCAGCTCTCTGACCCTTTAGCAGGGCAAAGAGAAGGACAAAGGAGAGGGAGGAGAGAAGGGGGAGTCAGGAAGAAAACTAGAGGAAATGTGTCAAGAGGAGACAAACACCCCCTGAGCCTGGGAATTCTCTGGAGAGGGTCTGGTCTTCCTATTCAGACTGAGTCTCCCTAAGTGTAGATTTTATGGCTCCCCAGGGCAGGGACTGGGCCTCTCTCCTCAGCTGTGGGCTCCTTCAAGTGGAGACGACGTCAATGTGAATGGTACTTGCTCTTTCTCCTAAGGTCCCAGGAGAGTAACTGGTGGAGCTGAGGAAACCCATAGGCTCCCCAAGAACAAGGGAACATCCTCCCCTCTCAATGCAGATGCTCTGGGCAGGTGACCCACCAGCCGCTCTAATCATGGCCTGCTCCCTTTTCCTCTGCGCCCCAGGGTTCACGGATACCTTCAACATGGACACCAGGAAGCCCCGGGTCATCCCGGGCCCCAGGAGCGCCTTCTTTGGCTACACAGTGCAGCAGCATGACATCGGAGGCAAGAAGTGGTGAGTCCATCGTCACGCCCCTCACACTGCTGGACATTTAGGGACAGAAGCAAGGTCTGCCTCCTTCCTGAGGTGGGAGAGGAGATGAGGCCTCTGCTTGGCGCTCTTAGAGTCCAGGGACCACATGAAATGGTGACAATGCCTGCCCCGTCCTCTTTCCAAGATGGCCTCTGCCTACCCTCCCAGCCTCTTCTACTTCCCCTACTGCCTTCTCTGTGTTCAACACTCAAGTCAACTTGCACTGTTTTCCTTTCTCCAGTTCTCCAAACTTCTTTGCACATGTTGTCACTGCCTGTGATGCCTTCTTCACTCACTTGCTTCCTCACTCACCCCACCTCACCATTCAGATTTGGCTTAATCTCTCTCATATATATATATATATATATATGAGAAAGGAGTATCTGTAAGGTAAAACAGATACTGTAAGTGTAGATATCTGCTACAATACAGACCAATGATTTTTTGGTTTGCTTTGATTTGTTTTTTTTTTAATTATTACAAAAGTTTATTTTTACATCATTTTGCACTTTTATTTTTTCCATCTCGATTGTAATCCCCGCGGGTTTCCCATCACCAAATCATCCGTGTGCCACCACCATAGTCCCGTGCATTTCCCTCCCCCCCCCCATTTTTGATCCCATTCCCCACTCCCCCCCCCATTTTTGATCCCATTCCCCACTCCACCCCCACAAAATGTCTCTGGTCTATGGTTGTTCATTATTTTTGTTATTTTCTCGCCTGGTCCATTATACTCCTGCTATGAGTGAAACCATCCGGTATTTTTCTTTCTCTTTCTGGCTTATCTCACTAAACATGATCTTTTCCAGCTCCATTCAAGTTGCTGCAAGAGACCAATGAATTTTTACATATGTCTCTGCCCTTGTAGTCACCTCCAAGAACACAGTTTAGAATATTTGTTGTTCAAGCCGCTTGAACAGCCCAATCAGTGCCCTCTAGGAAGTCACTTTCCTACTGATCGATCCCATAGATTCATGTTGCCTATTTTTGAACTTCATATAAATGATAAAATGCAGTAGGTACTCATCTATACCTGATCTCTGTGTTATTTACTTAATATAGTATCTTTGAGGTTTAACATATTGTTTAATGGCTCATGCTTTATGCTTCTTCACCAAAGTATAGTATTCCACTCTAGCAACATATCACTTTTTCCATTTTATTGAAATATATTAACATATATCACTCTGTACATTAAATATGGAGCATGATGGTTTGATTTACATATATGTAAATCAAAATATTCCAGTGTATGTTTATTCCACAACTTCTTTACCCATCCATTCACTAATGGACACTGGGCATTTTCATGTCTTATAAATGAGACTACTGTGAACACGAGGGTGCAGATTTCTTTTTAATCAATGTTCTTATTTCTTTTACTATATTCCTAGAAGTACCATTGCTAGATACTATAGTTGTTCGATTTTTAACTTTCTAGGATCCTTCATTCTGTTTTTCAAAGCGGCAGTACCAACCACAATTTATTTATTCCTTGTATTGTTCATGAATATTTGGATTTTTCCCATTTTTGGTTGCTACTAATAGAGATGCTACTAACATTTGTCCATTTGTCTTTTGATGGATATATGCACTTGTTTTTATTAGTCACATACACAGGACAGAATTGCTAAAGAACAGGTGTATGTTGAACTTCGGTAGATCTGTCGAGCTCCTTTTTTTAAAAATGATTAAACTTTACTGGTAACATAAGAAATTTCCAATTGCTCCACATCTTCATCAACACTTGGTATTATCAGACTTTTGTGAGTGTATGGTGGCCTCTCACTGTGGCCTTAATTTGCATTTCTCTAGTGACTTTCTATAAATTTATTGACTGTTTTGGTTTTGTGAAGTTGCCTATCATGTGAGGAGTCTAAATGGCCCTTGCATATTTTAAATTGTGTTGTATAGCTTTTTCTTCTTGGTTTACAGGACTCTTAAAATATGTACTCTGTATTCAAAATCCTTTGTGAGAAAGAAGCATTGTAAAGAACTCCTCCTGACGATGGTTTGCCTTTTCATTTTGTCAGTGGCATCTTTTTATGAGCAGAAATTCTTAGCGTGGATAAAAGTTTAATTTATCAATCTTTTCTATGGTTACTGCTTTTTGTGTGTCATCTCAGAAATCTTTGCCTTTCTTAGGAGGCATAATGATAGTCTCCTCTGTTTTCTCCTAGAAGTTTGATTTTTCACTTGCTTATTATGTTTCATCTCAAATCAGTTTGTGTGTGTGATGTGAAATAAAGATCAAAGCCTTTTTTTTTTCCACATGGAAAACCATGCTTTCCATAACAGGCGATCTTGCACCATACGTCAAAAGATTATATTTTCCCTACTGAATGGTGGTTTCATCTTTGTCAAAAATAAGGTGACCATGGATGTGTGGGTCTGTTTTTAGCCTCCATTGTATTCCATTTGTCTGTTTATCTAAACTAGCAACAATAAGCTTTAAAGTCAGTTTTGAAGTCAAGTAGTGTAAATTCTTCCATTTTTATTTATTTATGCATACAAGAACTGGCTTGTAGACCAGAGATGGCAGGGGTGGGGGTGGGGAAGAGCATGAGAGGATTCACCAGAGACAGAGTGGGGAGCAGAACAGGGGTATCTACTGAAATACTCCGCAGAGTGGAGCTGTGGTGGGACAAGAAAGTCTGCTGTGCCATGCGGGTTAGCTCCCCGACCAGGGAAAGAACTCATGCCACAGTGGCTGGTGATAGCTTGATAGCCTGAGACTTTAACTCTGGCACACCCAGGGAGGTCCTCAAATTTGTTTTTCTTTGACAAGTTTGTTGGGTTACGCTGGTTCCTTTGTCTTTTCATATGAGTTTAGAAACAGCTTGCCAATTTTCTCCAATCAAGCTTGCTAAGATTTTGGTTGGAATTACACCGCATTTATCGATTAATGTGGAAAGGAATTAAATCTGAGTAACACCAAGTCTCCCAATCTATGAACATGTGTAGCCTGCCATTTATTTAGTTTTTGAAATAATTCCTTTCAATAATGCTTTGAAATTTTCACTAAAATTCTTACACATCTTTCATAATGTTCATTCCTAAGTATCTTATATTTTATGCTGATTAAAATGGAATGTTCATATATCATTTTCCACCTTTCATTTTTCACCTTTTTGAAGTACTTTTTGAAGTTGTTACCATGTTCATTTAAAATATATTCTACGGCCCTCCCTGGTGGCGCAACGGGTTAGGACACAGCACTTCAAGCTGGCCACAGCCTCAGTGCTTACACCTCCAGGCCAGGCGGGGATTGAACTCATGCTGAAGTGGCTTTAGCTTCTCAGTGCTGTGCTTTAACCCGCTGCGCCACCAGGGAGGGCCCCTACTCATCTTTTTCAACATAACAAAGTTATTTCAAACCCCTTGTTATAATATCTGGGTCATTTCTGGATCTTCTTCCAGTAACTATTTTATCTTATGACTATTAGTTACTATTTCCTGATTCTTTGTTTAGTAACTTCATGGTAATTTTGGTTAACATCATGAACGATGCCTGAGAGGCTATAGAGTATGTGACTTCCTTCAAAGAGTGCTGAGTTTAGTTCTTAGAAGCATTTAAATGCTGCTCAGATCACCTAGCTTTTACCTAGTTTGGGGTCTGGCTACATAGCTTCCAGTTCTGCCTCACTCCGAGGGTGGAGTCTTCACTTCTAAGGCGTGGGATTTTCAGGGTCACAAAAAAAGTTCTTCATTCTGACAGGGAAAGAACGCTAGTATGACCCAAGCACTGAACAGCCTCTGAAAGCTCTGCCCCATACTGTTTGCTGACAGTCTACAGCGTCTCACACTACGCATGCTCAGCTTCAGCCAGCCACGGACCTGCGGTTGACTTTTAGCAGGGTTTGGGGGACTGTGGCTCTCTTCTTTCTGCTTGTCTCTCCCAAATCCTGGTCTTTGCCACCCCAATTCCAATCATTGTTTCCTCCACCCAGAAAGACTGCTACTCTCTGTTTGGGTCCTATTTCCCAGTGCTCAAAAAAATAGTGTCCCCATAGAGAGAGCTGGGGACAAATGGGGACTTAGCCCCTGTGCTTCTTTTCTCAAGTATTGAGCTCTGTATTGATTGCTGTCCAGTGCCTAAAAATAGCTGTTTTTTATATTTTGTCTAGCTTTCATGTTGTGTGTAGCTGGAGTTGAATGTCCTCTTTCATATGCATTTATCAAATTAGATATCATATGTCTGACCATTTCTTTCCATCACTAGACTAGAAGTCTGTGTATAGGACCCCGCAGGTCACTTTTTATAACACTTATCAAACTGGATAGTAATTTCCTGTTTCACTGTCTTTCTTCCTAAAATAAGGGTACAATCTGTGGCATTTAGTAGATGCTCAAAAGAACAGACTTTGAAAGACTGAATTAATGATTTGAACCTCTCCCAACCACCCCAGGCATAAAATGCACATTTTTTTTCTACAAAATCTCAAGGATTACATATTAAATGGAATTGCCCATTCTGAGATAAAACTTGTTTTGGCCAATATTTGCTTAGTAAGCATCTGTTAATAAATTCTAGACTCTGAAAACAGTGATGTAAGTAACGGATGCTTTCACTCGTAAGCAACTCACGAACCAGTTAGGAAGCAATACTAAGATCCTTGAAATAATATTAAAATAATAGAAGACAAAATATGACCTGGTATTATGTTCATCTCTATAAGGACACTTTATCTGAGAGGGTTTTGTAGATCCTTCTCCTGCCTCAATGGCCTTACACCCCCCCACCCCCACCCAGGCCTTCTCTCTGATGGAGCAGGTCACTCCCTACCTCATGGGGGGTCGGCCACTTAGGCCCGCAGCCCACCTCCACACTGACCACCAGCCTCTCCTCCTTGCACCGGAGAGCTGACAGCAGTGTCTTGCTCACAGCAGAAACTTAGCCAGAGTCTGAATGGACAAACCTTGTGCCTGTGCCTCCCTGGAGGCATCTTTGATGCTGAACTTAGATAAGCAGAGAGGCACAT